ATGGCCTGGCTCTGAGAGGGAGCTACCTGCTGAAATAGCTGCTGGTTTGGTGAATTTACAGCAAAACAGTTTTTCAAATGTCTTACTAAAATGGAAGGGTGCTGTCTGCAGAAGTGTGAGCTGTAGTTGGCCACTGGGCTGGTTGCTCTGGAGAAGGTCTGTGTAGTGCAGTGGTACCACTAAGCATGTTAATATTGATTCAGGTGCTGCTGAATGGATTAGCGTTGTCATCATGGCGCTCCAGTTACATCCTGCCATAAACAAACCTGCTGTTCTTAAAATTAATGTTAACTTTGTAAGGATTCCGAAATAGGATCTGCCTAACAATATCTTGTCCTCCCAGAAGGAGAGGTTAAAACTCCTCTGGTCTTATCATTTGAAATGCTGATTCATAGAATCACAGAATGGTCTGGGTTGAAAAGGACCACAACGATCATCTGGTTCCAACCCCCTGTTATGTGCAGGTCGCCAACCAGCAGACCAGGCTGCCCAGAGCCACATCCAGCCTGGCCTTGAATGCCTGCAGGGATGTGGCATCCACAATTGAAATGCTGCTTATTCTGAACAGAACACAACAAGATTGGGATGTACCCACTCTATCCATCTGAGTGTGGTTACAGAATTGAAGGCATTTGAGCACCAGTGCTTAAGGAGTGATTCGAGATACACTGTAAAGAAGGATCTATTCTGCTTTGTTTGTGTATCCAAATGTGGAGTGTGCAGGAATAGCTTGATTCCGAAATTGCTTTTGTGTTTGAATGCTGAGCATTGATGGATAGAGAAACCCTTGAGTTGTTTGCACGGGTGTATATCTAAGAAAGCAAAGAGAGAATCTCAGAGAACACTCTCCTAATTTTTGTGCACTGGGGCAGCTGGAGGGGAAATTCTTTACAGAGAGAGTGGTGAGGTGCTGGAACAGCTGCCCAGAGAGGTTGTGGATGCCCCATCCCTGGAGGTGTTCAAGGCCAGGTTGGATGGGGCCCTGGGCAGCCTGGTCTAGCATTAGGTGGGATGATTGGTCACCCTGCGTGTGGCAGGGGGTTGGAGCTTCATGATCCTTGAGGTCCCTTCCAACCCTGGCAGTTCTGTGATTCTGTGATTCTGTGTGGCTGAGGAGGCAGCAGTGACTGCTTCATTCCTGTCCTCATCCACTGCTATTTGGAAGTGTGATGCTGCACCTCAGTCCTGTGGTGCTGCAGCCTGTGATGGAGGACAGCCACACGATGCAATAGAGACCTCTGTTTCTTGCAGTTGACTGTGTGTGTGTGTTTTTTGTGCGTGATGCTACACTTGTGCCAAACAGCATTATTAGTGGTTGTTTAAAAACAAGCAAGTCCTTGCAAACCAAGTTTGCAATCTTGGTTTCTGCTGCACCCAGATGAGTCTGTTCTTACACTGGTCGTGTTCTGTGCCTATGAGGAAGTGATGGCAGTTCAGCTGCCTGTCTGAGGGACGCAGGCACAGAATGCCTGGTTCGTTTAGGGATTCTTTTTAAAGGAGGTTAGATTCCTAGAGTATTTTTGTATTATTTTCTTGCTAGGAAGGCCTAACTGACCTTCATACTTCACACCACTGCTCTGCCTCTGCATGGCTTTCTTAGCTCGCCCACTATCAGCAAATACGACTTTGCCACATTGATATTTTCCTCCTCCTGGGGCAGAATGGGATGGTTTGGCTGTGGGGAGGGAGTAAGGCACATGAAAATGAGCGACTGCCTGAATCAGCAGCACTGCAACGTGAGTATTGTGGGAGAGATTTCGCTGCACTTGTAACTAAGCAAGCAGAAAGCACTGAGTTTTCTAATGGTGCAGAACTTGAGCTTTGCCTTTTCTTGCTTCTTTCACATTTCTGGCTTCGCGTTTGAAGATAGGTTGTGAAGCTAGGAACCTTTGTTCTTCCATCCGCGCTTGTAAGCCTGAAAGCAGAGCTTTTTGAGGGCTGGAGAGGAGGAATGGGTGTAATTAATTTCCCTCTCATTTGCAGCAGTACAGATGGCTCAATTGAAAATAGATTCTTTCGACTGCAGCCCCGAAGGCCACCAAATTGTTCTCTTTCTGCCTTAATGAGAGAGAGCCGCTGACCAGTGAAAAGACATTTGAGGAAGCAGCCTTTCTGTAAGGCTCAGCATAGCTGGTGCTTCTTTAATATTCCTCACATTTACTCGGAGGTGTCTAACACTTGACCATTTAAAAATTAACCCGCTCGTAACAGCATTTTTCTTTGTGTTGGGTCGTGCTGGTGCACAAGCACCAAAGGAGAGCTGCAGCCCTGTGCTGCCTTTTGCTTCTCCTCCATCCCTCTGTCTACAAAGGGAGGCAGATGCCTTGTGCTGAGGCTCCTAGGGTGCTGTGCTGTACATGGAATGCTGCGAGCATCGCGCAAGCCAGTCGCCGTTTGTCTGTTGCCATTGAGAGGGATAGAGGAGTAGGCTGAGCTGCCAAGCCTTCTTTGAAGTTTAATTGTCTGTTTGGTACCGGGACACATAATCTTCCATTACAAATCTTATTTTATATGGTAATTGGCTCATTTGCTCTCTGGTTATCAATTGAACTTCTCTACCACAAACATCTGCACTTGCATTGTGTTAATTGATGTGAATACTAAACACTGACGTAGTTAAACTAAAAAATGCCTTTAAAATGCACTTTTGTAATTCATTAATGAGAAAATAAAGGATAATAATAAAGGAAGAGAGCTCTTCTCGTGTTGTTTTCCCTCTGTAAATAGCTTGGCATTTTCTCCGTAAGCCAGAAAAGCAAAGCCATTTTGAAAAAATAATATTTAAAATTCAACTCCTTCATAAAAAATATTTGAGAGTGGATGATAGGATGTCTGGATCAACTCGTGTTTTTGTGGCAGATCTTGTGATTCAGTACTGGGACCCACTTGTGCACGATGCCCCAAGTGGAAGCAGTGCCAGATGCTGAAGATACATGAGGGATTCTGGATGTCTTCATTACACCGTTTAGTTAAAAGTGATTTATATCATAGTACTTTTGATACAGTAACCCTAGCAAAGGCCATCTTGAGCAGCTGTATTTTGTAGCAAGCACCGCAGCTGATTTTATAGAACTTGTTACGTGTGCCCCTTGTCATCATTGAGTTTCATGGCAGAGCTGCTACGTACAGCAGTTTGTGTCTTCTGACATCATTAGATGGACTGTTCTTCCTAAACAAGTTGTTTACTTTTGATGGTGAATGTTGCTAGCTTGTGTCTGTTAGGATTCCTGTAAATTTAATACATTAGCTGAAGAATTAGTGTCACTTTGAGAAGACTGCTAAGAAAATAGGAATGTTAATCCTTCATGGGGAAATGCTTCCAACTGTTCTGCTCCTATTTTGCAGTCATGGAGGCTCTTCAGAAATTGGAGTGTGTTGTATATCTCTGTGTAGAGAGAGGGAAAGGAAACGAGAGCGCTGATAAAACAGACTGGGCCAAGATTACTCATTAGTTAAAAATGCTGAAGATGAGAGGGCAGTGATCTGCCATAGGCTGGCTCAGAGATCAGCGTGGTGCATCCAGGAAAGAGATGAGTTGGGCAAGATGTTTGCCGTAGTAATAACAGTGTTCGTGCTGGTTTTTCAAGTCTGTGGTGATTTGCATGTCTGAGACAACATGCAAATCACCTGTGGGCTGCAAGGATTAGCACAGACCTGAGCAAACACAGGGGGTGACTGAGGGTGGTGTGGGTGATGGGTACCAGAACAGCCTGTGCACACAGGGCTCGTTGGGCTGGCCAAATAAAGGCTGGGAGGTGGGACAGGAGCAGAGAAGAAGCACAGCTCACGCACAGTAAAAATGTCAGAGAAGAACAGAAATTTGAAATAAAAGAATAATTAGCCCCAGTTTCGTCATGACTAAACTCAAGGTTATGGTCGTGGCAGCCATCTGATGTAGATGGTGGGTACAAAAGTACCTGAATCATTCCAAGCAGTTAATGGCAGCTTTGGTAAATTTCTGGAAATGGGTTTCTGGGTGGGTTGGAAGCCACAGGCAGAAGGGCTTCTATGTGAAAGAGTTCAAGCAGTAAATGTGTACCATCCTCCCGTAGTTTCTGGTGTAGGTTTACGTGTGTCTGACAGCTAAGTCATCTTCCTACTCCAGAGGTAAATATTTTCATATTTAAATGTTCTCCTATATAATTTGTAACCTGAACTATGAGGTTTTGGGAGAGCAGCTTGTCTCCAGCTTTCTGATTTAAAAGAAATTAAATCCACCTACCAACCTTTACCAGAAGGAAAACGGATCATTCCGTAGGCAGAATGCAGCACAAAGTAGGATTTCTTATTCCCTAGCATGAGATAAACACCACTGATAAGTGAAGTGTGCAGAGTATTTGCCTGAACTCCGTAGCCCTTCTGTATTGACTTTGGTTGATAAATATTAAAGGGCAGAGGCTGCTTTTCACTCTTCTGGAACTTAAACAATCAGACCCGCCAACGTAAGTCAGCAAATTGCCCTCATGTCAGCGAGTTTAATAAAAACAAATAAATTTGTGCACATTCTTCATAGTAGCTGGTATTCAAATTCTGTGTGCCTGCAGACAGCAATTCTTCCTCCCACCGAGCTGCAGAAGCTTCGAGTCCTCATGCACAGCCAGATGCTCCTTCATGGCACACTTTTCTCCAAAGGTTTTGGCCATACCTGTGCACTGGGTGCTTTGGGGATTGTGTTACCAAAGGCTTTGTTGAGATTTTATGGCTTTTAAAGTTCTTGAGTTCAGTTCATCTCATTCTGAATATAAAATCGTTTTTAAAAGCAGCCAACACCTGGAGGTGACAGCTTTGTGTTGTATGTTCTTACAGGAAGAACCTTTCTGATTTACTGAATACATATTGCTGGTCACACATGCCTGTAACACATGACTCAAAGCAGTCGGTATTCGAGGAAAGTTTCATCTTGGTTTTATGTCCATTGGTTTTAAGAAGTCTTTATTACGTAGTTTTGCCTTTTGTATGTAGTAACGCCATCTCTTGTCTGTCTTCTGTTTTATTTTCAGTTCCTCCTGAGTTTCTGAAGCGACCTGCAAACATTTATGCTCATGAATCTATGGACATTGTCTTTGAGTGTGAAGTGACTGGAAAACCTACTCCAACTGTGAAGTGGGTCAAGAACGGAGACGTGGTGATTCCAAGTGACTACTTCAAAATCGTTGTAAGTGTGTAGTCAGTCTTGGGCACTGTAAGCTACTGACTTGACTCTTAGTCCTGTGATTTAGATGTCATACTGAGGAACGTGGCTTAGTGGGAAATATTGGTGCTAGGTGGACTATTGGACTGGATGATCTTGGAAGCCTTTCCAAACTCAGTGATCCTATGGTTCCATGATACATATGTGTGGAAGCCAAGCCCTTTCACAGTACCAGCTTCCTATTTTCATACTATCCATGTTGAAGCCTGGAAGAATTAATTAGTTGCTCGAATTCTGCAGTGCTCTGTAATTCAGTCATTTTGCTGAAACACTGAAATATGCAGCTGATATTGTCTGAGTCTGTTTCTTGATAGCTTAGGCTTTCCGTGAGAGACAGGGGCATGCATGATGACAAAACACAAATTGTTGGTTGCACCTGTTGAAATGTGAGCTCACTGTGAACACCGACTGGGTTTGCTACAGTCAGCTGTGATTGATGAAAATTACAATTTCAAACAGGAATTTAAATATAAATAGAACCGAGTTGTGGATCGTGAGTTTTGGCACACCGGTGCTTCGGGTGGGGAATTTTAGATGTAGTGAAAGTCATTACTGAGGCATAGCTTAGAACTTAATGGCTGTATAATTATGTATACCTGAGGTTGTAGAATTGTAACAGTGAGTTATGTGGTTATGTTCAGTTCTTAAAATATCATAAAAATGGCTGTGGGAATGTTATGACTTGCCAGTGATATGTGATGCTAGAAAATGATAGCCATTAGTAGGAGCTTCTGCTGCTTTTTGATGCTGTATAATTTGAGGATTCAGTGTAAAAGAGATGAAATCTGACGGGAACTCAAAATACACTTCTGTATTTTACTGTTCAGGAGTTTCTCCTATCATAGAAATGTGTGATAAAACACCATTGTTTTTGCAATTGCAAAACATTTTTAAATGTTGCATTTATCCTTTGCTCCTCAGAAAGAACATAATCTGCAAGTATTGGGTCTGGTGAAATCAGATGAAGGATTCTATCAGTGCATTGCAGAAAATGATGTTGGAAATGCACAGGCTGGAGCCCAGCTGATAATACTGGACCTCGGTAAGATAAACAGTGATGTTTTAGTGCCTAAGGATGGAGGGGGGAACAATTGCAGGGGGCCTTTTCTGCATGACACGTTATCTGTAACTCAGCTCCACTAGGGGGATTTTTTGAATCATCTGAGGGATTCAGTGTCATCTCACCACGCACTTACAGTTACTTAGGAGAACTGAAGGGTTCTGCAGGGCTCACCTTGCATTTTGAAATTTGTCTTGGAAATACTTGGTGCATTAAGAAACCACAGCCATAAATCTGAAAAATTAATTGTATGCTGAGATTTTGAAAAATATCCAAATGGAAAACTATCACTGCAATTACAAAACTGAAAAAAAGTCCTTATGGAGCACACAACAAATGAAGTATTCTACACCAAAGTCATTCCAATGTTAGGAGCTTTTTTCTACTACCAGTTGAAAACGAAATAAAGTAGGAGTGAGCTGTGTCATTTTGGCAGGCTGTGACTGCACAACAGTTCGTTGAGGTGTAGCTGCAACTGAAGAGAAATATTTGTTACTGTGCTCCAGTAAGTGGAATTACTAATAATGCTCACCTTTTTGTTACTGAAACGTGCAATTTCCTGCATTACATATTTCAAATGTTAAAAGAGGATAATTATTGTTATGGTAAAAGAGGTACTGCCTTCCACAAAAATTGGTAGTACTGTAGCATCAGCTTGCTTTGATCTTTCAGGTCACATTGCTCTTGAAAATAGTTTATAAGAACATAAGGTGGAAAAACAGTAGTAAGAGTGACAAAGAAAATAAGTCAGACAAGAAAATACTAATGGTGTACATTTTCTACTCAATGCTGCTCCGTTTTTTTTGGATGCTGTTTCAAAATTACAGCTTCTTGTGTGTTTCTCCATTTACCACAAAGCTTTTGGATGGAAAGATTTAGCACCTAGGTCTGATCAGAGGCATGATAAAACTTCACTCTTGAAATTTTAACAGATGTGAAGCTGCTAGACCTGGTATTGGCATTCAACGTACAGAGAGTAAACTGTTACGAGTGTGCCATAAAGAGAGATTTTTCATTTCTTGTCTGGTTGTTCTGTACAGTAGTTGTGCACTTCTAACTTCTTCTGAATTCTGCTTTGGATACGGGTATGTTTCATTGATGGCTGAGGACATGCATGTATTTCAACAACAACGTGGGGAGCGAAACTGGATTCAGCAGCTTGAATACTCACAGCCCTGGGATTCTGACCTCCCAGTGGTGCTGGGTGGCTGGATCCAGCAATGGCCTACTGTCACCACGTTGCCAGAAAAATTATTAAGAGTAATTTTATTTCTGCTATATGTATGAATCACCTGAGTGGTTTCCAAATCATTCGGGCGGAAGGATTATTCCATATTTTTTTGAGTTTGAAAAATATTGAATAATTAATGTACCTGGGTTTTGAAGCCCTGCCAAAGTTTCTACTTTTACCCAGTTCCCAATAGTGGTTTATAAATGATTGTTACTGTTATTATTTTAGTTCCTGTGGTCTCACTCTTCTTCCTTTCCCTCCCCCTGTTTTATGCCCAATGGTTTCTCCTTCCTGTTCTACTCTGGCAACCTGTCCTGTTATACTAAAGGACTGTGCCTTATAATGCTGTCCTTTTTCTTTTGCATGCTGCCAAAGGATTATGGATGCAGTGTTGATGGAGTCTCGTATTAGGTGTAAAAATGCACCCAAGAAGTCAAATTATTCTCTTACATGGCCTGCAGTGTTTTTAACAATGCACTCCCAGTGTAACGCTGATGCATATTAGTTGTTGCTCTCCAGCAGTAGAGATGATCACATGGTACATCACTGAAAGTACATTTATTTTTTTTTTGCTATTGAATAGTGACATAACAAGTCATGTAATTAGGCATGAATATGCTGTGTCTTATTCAGTCCTGATGTATGAAAAGTGGTACGATATATTCAGTCAAAGAAAAAATGGATATTTGAGATCTTATTTTAGCACCTTGTCACAATATGTGAACGGTGAAGATGGAAAGATAACTCAGGGAGACTGAAAGCAGGATATATACTTCAGTTCTTTCACAACATCTAGCTTGGTATAGAAATAAAACCCACTAAGTTGAACAAAAAAGATTCTGCATACTTCGATCATTAAATCAGAAATCTATTTTTCTTGAATTCCACACCTGATGATGAGAATTAGCTGCCTTGGCGATTTGAAAAGTAATTTCAGTGAAGAAATGTTGATTATGTGTTCGCTGAAGTTATTCTTCCCAGTTAGCAGGCTGTCCCTTCCCTTTCTGTTCTGTTTTCTCCTTCCTAAATGGAACTGGGAAACATCTGGACTGTTTACATGCAGGTAATAGCTCTCTCAGTTGCCTTGTCAAGTCGACCTTTAATAAAGTAAATTTGTATTAGAAAGTAGAAGCCTTACGGTTTGTCCCACAGCCAGGCCACATGAATTCTTTATGTTGAAGAAATGGACTGAGACTATTTGTGGGCATCTATAAATGGAGTACAGCATTGATTATGATATAATTGCCAGCGAGGAAGACGACGTTTGGCTGCCGTGGGGGTGAATGCGAGCAGTTGGAAAAGGCACTCAGGCTCTGAGGGAGATGGTCTGAAAAAGGTTAAATAGAATTAAACCAATGAAAGTGTTCTCCATTTGCACTTTGCATATTGGATCAGGTCTTAATTGTCTTTTCTGTGTTTCATCCTGAACCTTCATTTAGAAATCGACTCGTGTTGGTTTGTGCTGCCTGGAGGGCTGCTGTCGCCTGCTGGAAGGGCTGCTGAGTGTCTGGAAGTAGAATATCACATTATATTGTCTTCAGTCTTCGGTGGTAGCATCATTTTTAAATATAGTAGGCATAAAATACATAACATGCTTCTCTGCTGTAACAAGAGGCTTTCAGTATTTAAACACTGGCTTCAGAGGAAGCACTGTTTTGATTCTTCATATAACATAGTGACCCAGAGCTGTGTGCATGCAGACAATTGTTGGTCAGGCACAAGTTTCTTTTGGGTTGGTTTGTTTTGTATTTGTGTGGAATTCTGAAAAGCTTGCAATGTATGCAGAGGGGATTAATGGAAAATCATAACAGAACTGACTGGCAATAGACACGAGGGCCATCTGAAGGCTCACTGGAGTGGCTGCTTTATTTTCAAATTCTGTAGTTCTGCCAATAAGTTTAGAAGACAACTACCTAAAGACAGGGAATTTCTACCTGATTTCTGTTTTGAAAGTAATGATTATTCTCTGGTGGGTCACAATCTGACCTCATCAGTTTTCCAATGTATGGATGCTAACATGCTCGCTGAATCATAACAAAGCTATTTCCTGTTGTCCTTTTTACAGCATTATTTTGTGTGAACTTGTGGCTGTGAGAACCTCAGTAATGGATACATTTGGGTTTTCGTTGTGGAGGTTAAATACTAGTGACAAGACTGAAAAATTCAGGCAGGACCTGTAGCCTGGCCTTTTCCAATGGAGCTGGCGTTGCTGAGAGTTGCCGATTGGGAATTGAAAAAAGAACAGGTGGCAGTAAGTAAAAGGAGGTGCCTCTGGGGAGGGAGGCAGATGGTTCCCTGTCACCCCCGTGTGATGGGCGTTTGACAAGTACTCAGGCACCAAAAAAAGGAGTGATTATTGAGTGCTGTATAAAGAAAAATCATTGACTGTAAACAAATATGCCATGTTATTTAGAGAACGGTTTCAAAACATGAGTTGAGATTCATCATCTTCAAAATTCTGAAGTAAGCATAGTGCATTGAGTGAATTCGTTGGCGTCTGCCATTCTGTGCCATCTCTGGGAGTTGGACAGGCCTGAGGTCCTCAATGGAGTGAGTTGAATGGTGCCGGTATCCAGTTGTGTGCCACACCACAGTTGTTTATACTGGAACTTCCCATCTCTTTAAACTTCAGATTTCCTTGAAAAACAGTCCATAGCCAAGAAAGGATGTTCTGCATGTGAATTAATCTTACTAGCATGGAGGAGAAATTGAGGAGTCTGCGTGGAGACGCAGAGCTGTGAGGCCATTGGGATTGCAGAGATGCATCGGGATAGCTTCACAGGATGGAGGGTGAAGAAGCAAGCATGATACTTGTGCTGTGTGTGCTGACTGACACGAACACTTACAGCCTTGTTTTGGAGAGGATGGTGAGCCAGTCAACAATTTCTGTGTAAGGATCAGAACGTGGAAGGGCAACATTTTCACACATCTAAAAAAAAAAAAAAGCTAATATCAGTCTGACCAAATAATCGAGAGAAAGTGATAGATGAAGACTTCTTTACACAACTGGAGAAAGTCTCATGATTGCAGCCCTTAGGGTTTATGGAGTTATCCTTCGCCATGTATTATGTGCTGGAAAGGCAGCTTGGTGATGTGGCAGCACACGCAGGGGGGTTCTGGGGCTTATTGAAAGATTTTTTGATGCAAATTTATCTGTGTCTGACTAGATGAGCAGTGGTGGTGATGTGTTGGGCCTGCCCTTCTGGGACGGAAAAGGATAAGTGCAATTACAGAGCTCAGAGCAGACTTGGTAGCAGCCATCACGAGGTGCTTGAATTCAGGTTTGTAGGAGAAGTGGGCAAAACAAGTAGCAGAATTACATCTTTGGACTTCAGGGCAAAGCATTCTGCTAGGAGATTTACGTGGCCAGGAGAGCAACAAGGGATGAAGAAGGAGCTCCAAATTGAGTAGGAACAAAGAAAGAAAGTACTTAGAAGTTGGAAGCTAACACAGAAAACTGAGGGATGTTGCCTGGATGTGTGCAGGGATGGAACTAAGACATCAGCTGAAAGTAGAGCTGTTTTGAGGAAACTTTGGGGACAAATCCCTCTGGATGTTGAGGGTAAATAAAGGAGATACTGATGACTGGGAAAATCCAGCATGGATTACCAAGGGCAGATTGCCCCTGACTGTTTTGACAGCCCCCTAAGGTGAAATGGTTGACCACGTGGTCGAAAGGAGAGGAGTGGATATATCCTATACACAATCTCCCATAGCATGTCTGCAGCTGAATGAGAAATCTGGCCTGGAG